AAAATAGAGAAAATTAGATATACCGACCGGTCGGTCCAAAATCTGGATCGAAGGGTGGGTGCAAACTTCTATTCTTATAAACTTCAACAGTGCTTTAAAATCGTGTTCCACAGAAGAAAAAAATATAGTAGCTTGCAAACTGTAGTTTATTAGAAATGAAATAAAGATGCAGGTAATTCCATTTTTTTCACTAATTCATTTAGTTTTTTTCGATCCAATGCAGTAAGTTCAAGATTTTTCACTTGTGCCATTTTATCCCTACTCATCATAGTACCAGCTTGCGAATCTCTATTCAATGCAGCCACTCCTTCTGGAATAAATAATTTTGAAATACCACAGACATCAAAAACTGCACTAAGAGTATCTTCTGGTTTTGAAACTAAATTTTCGTATGTTGCTTCTGCAAGAGCATAACAATGTCTATTCTTCAGGAAAAAATAATAAGGAGCGCCGAAAATAACCATTGTTAATTCTAATAAACTTTGTGGTTTCACTTTATCGATAGTGCGTTGTTCATATTGATATCCAAACAACCACATTCCTAATTTAGGAAAATTTGTGTTAAAGTACATAGCTGTGTCCCAACTGTCAATTTCTTGCACCATTTTATATGAAGAAATAAGGGCCTTTTCCACATTTTCACGAAATTGAAATATGTGAGGAATTTCAGGAAGAAGTTTATGAATATGACCAACCAAGGCTGCACCATCCGATGGCATTTTCAGTATATAGATTTGATCTTCTGCCATATTTTTGCAATATGTATAAAATAGTGATCGAAGTATAGCGTTGAATAAGTCTGAAGACAATATATTTGCATCATACATCATCACTAGATTTGAGAAAGCCATAGGTTCTGCAACAGTTACAACTTTCTGGCCAACTTGAACCATTTGAGTAATCAGTGTAGAACCACTTCTAGGACAATTAGTGAAAAAAATCACTTTTCCTTTCAAAGGTCCCAGTGAGTGACATGCAAATGTGCAAAAATCTCTAAATAAAATCGATTAAAATGCTTAGAGAAATTTATTATCATAATTTACTTGATTGGTATTCGAGCTAATTTGAGAGCATCAGTAAACTGTTTCATACAAAAAAAGGTGCATTTTTCACATTGTATTCTGTTATTGGTTTTGGTAATAATGTAAAGTAAGCATATCGTTCAGAAATTGTGTATAACACCCAATTTGGATTATACTTCAATAACTTTTCAGCATCATAAAACTTATCATGTAACCACAAAAAATCACAATCTATGGATGCAGCACCGCTGGCTGGCTGTAGACGATGCAGAATAGTGAGAATTTCGCATTGGATAGTAGGGCTATTTTTGGGAAATCGAAACCAATATGATTGAAGATGGCATATGACATCTCTAATAACCTGATAAATTATATAAATGATCAGTTTTAGTATATTCATCGCGTAGTTTAGACGAGAGAAGCGTATACAAAATACTCGTTCGGTAGTGTTTGTAATGATGATTGTGACTAGCTCGAGAAGAAGAGGCGATATATGTAAATATTCTCGGTTGGACTGTGTAACTAGAAGATAACGCAAAAAAAACAATGTGATAGCGACAAGAATAAATATACGAGACCGAATGCTGTTATCATATTTTTGTAGTGAACTCTTTTAAGCTTATTTTACTCAAGATATTTCAGAGACAATACCTAAAGCGTGTACAATACACCGAGTCGTGGGTGTGGGTGGTGGGTGTGGGTGGTGGGTGTGGGTGGTGGGTGTGGGTGTGTGGGTGTGGGTGTGGGTGTGAGTGTGGGTGTGGGTGGTGTGGGTGTGGGTGTTGGTGCCAGTAAACAGTAGACACACCCACACACCCCACCCACACCCACACCCACACCCTTATTTGACGATTGGTAAAGGTTCGATTCATCCCATTTTGAATAGTAGAGGGTCGTTTAGTCTAAAAAAATTCAAATTGATTGATGAAGTCGATAGAGCTATGAAGGTATAGAACGAGAAATTGAAAAATGGGTATATGAACATAAGAGAAATGTTCAGGATAAATCATTTAATTAGTAAAGCAATTTTAAAGCACAGTAAGACTATTTTTGGTGGCAAATGAAATACAATTTTCTTATCGCTTCATTAAAATATTCTTTTGGACTTTTTACAGGAATTTGCGTTTTATACGTGAGTTGAAATCATATAGCAAGCTCATGTAATGCTATATTTTTACTTTTAGAGTTACAGAGGACAAGCCAAATTTTTTTTTAGGTCTCTCTGACCATTTCTTCATTTCAACTTATAATTGAAAAAAATTTGGTGCTTTTTTTTATTGAAGATAATTCTATGAATAACATTGTTTACTTTTTACAATGATTTAACTCTTTATTACTGTTGCACACTGTGTTGTCTTTCCCTTGTTTCTTTTTCTATCAATTGTCCTCAAGTATCATTCTGTGCAAATGGCTGTTAATAACAGCAGTACACTATTTTGTAAGCAGTAAGAGAGACTTGTAAGCAAACAAACACATTAAATTGCGACAGCGAAATTCATTTCAAGAATCGAGGTGCCAATAGGAGTGATTGAGAATAGGAACAAAGATGTGAATGCTAATGTCAGAGGATCGCGCATCCATATCTATATCCTTCTCAAGAAAAATACCCCAGTCGATATTGACTTTATGACTGCTGAACTTAAATTTGTTGTACTTGAAAATAAATTTATTTTTACCTGTCTATCAGCTACTGTTCAAAATATAGATACTTCCATAAAAGGTCAGTGGTTGCTCTTCAAGCATTTCTTCGATGAAATTAAATTTGTATTTGTATTGTTCTTCGTTGGAAAGAAGTTGACATCTTTCATCTTTCTATATAAGCTACAACCAATTAAAACTTCAAATAGAAATTTTTTTTGCCTTTTTCTCATCATTTATTAGAAATTGAGCTGCTGATCACGAAAATCATTATTACACATCACGTAAACATTCTTTTCAGGTTGAACACGAAGCAAAAAATAACATTGCATCACTCTTTTCTAGTTTTCAATTTGCAAAAATTCTTTACTTTTATCCGCTCATAAGAGCTTTAATGCTGTCTAAATGGTCATAATAATCAAAATATTATTGAAAAGCAATAGTTGTGAAAAAAGTTTCATTGTTAGTCAAGCAATACACATCACTATATCAAAAGAATATATGTGTATAATGAAAAATGAAATTTTCATATTTTCGCTGGAGCGCATTTTTTGAACAAACTAATAAACTTATCAAAATAGATGAACCACTAAAGAAAAACTGCGATCAAATTATATTTGCACTTTTAAACTCTCTTTTATATCAATCATAACTTTAGACGATTCACATCTTTTACATCTTTCAACTCATTCCATACTCGACTCGCTGCTTCATGAATAGTAGTCATTGCTTTCGACCATTCACCATCGAATCAGGGTGTGGGTGTGGGTGTGAGTGTGAGTGGGTGTGCGGGTATAAATAATAGATACAAGACCCACACCCACACTCACACCCCTGTATTTTTGAGATCGAAATGAATGGCTTGAAGCAGATTAAGACATTGGGAAGCATTTTATGTGGTGAACAGTAGTGGTTTAGATGGTTTGGGAATAGACAAATGAATTTGGTCTGGTTATAGGCCTTCAATACTTTGTAAAGGACAAATAAGGATTGGTAGTATGCAGGATTATGGACTTTTCTGTCTATAATTGGTACGGCTGTTTATGGCTATGTGCGACCATAATATTCTCTCTACCGAACCGACGAAATAGTGGCGATTTACGGTCAGAAGTTTATCGTATACGATTGTTTTTGATCGTTTACAGTCACCGTAATCATCGACCTAGATAGTAATAGCGTCATTATCGAACAGCCATATGTATGTCTAGAAAGATATACATAGATGGATTTATGTCGTGTGCCACCATCTATATAACAATGAGAAACTGCGTATGATGAACTTATTTTTTCTTGGTTGATCCAATTTTACTTTCGAATAATAATTGGGATCAGCTAGTTTCAATTTTGCCAGCAAGTCACTTGCTAATTGTGACTGACCGCTTTGTTCACACTCTTGTGCAATGTCAAAATATCGATGCATTGTGGCGGAACGATTAAGAAGAAAAAAATTGAAACCTATTCGAGCTATGTTCGTATAACACTCTAAAGCTAAATCCCAAATTTTTCTTCTTCGAAAACTTTGGCCAAGGCAATCATAAATAAGAAATTCAATATCAGGTGAATCATGCAACCCTTTCGATGATTTGTAAATTCTTAATGCTTCCTCTTGATGTGCCCACGCTAAATCAAACTCTTGTGTTTCACTGGTGACGTAACCTAAGCCTGCATGACAGATAAGCGGTGATAATTGATAGAGTAGCGTATAGTATTTTTTCACCGAATCAAAATTATTTTGTGTGTAGTTTTGAAGTAAATATCCAACTTTAATAAATTGAGCATATATTGAGGTTGCATTACCAATACGATCGTATTCACTCGTAAAATATCCGCCACTACAAAGATCTTGTGCCTCCTTGTCACTAATCAGTTGTAGTTGAACAATTGAAACATGTTGAACTTCATCATATCTAACATCGCCATATTTATGAAATATGGTACCAACAGTAAACAGTGTTTCATTTTCATCGGGTACAGAACTTAAATGTTGAGTATTCACATAGGCTTTGTTGGTTTTTTCTTTATCAATTTTCAGCTCAAATAGCACAGATTGTTTTCCCTCATCACTACCAGCTTGACCTGCTCCCGCAAAAATATTAAGAGCTAAATCACGGTTTGATGTAGTCGAAAAAAAGCTATTTATATATATAAAATGATCGTAGCGTGCTTTCTTCAATGTTTCGACTTCTTCTTTTGACATTAATTGTCCTCGATAAAATTCAGTCCGTTCGTTGTACAGCTTTTTTCCGTATTCTTGTTTAAGCTGATTATGTAAATCGACTATAAAAAAGTGTAGCAGCAAAATCGCTTCAATATCTTGATGACGAAGCGCTTTATTCAGTACCCGATATAGAAATGTATCTTTTGTGTACCATAATATTGCGCAATCAGAACGGTAAGTTTCATTAAATTCATTCAAAGCTTTTTCGGTAGCTGTGTTTCCTTTGTAATAACTTTTAAATTTAGCAACACATATTTCCTTAGCATTGTGAACAGGTGTCATTTCTAGAAGAGCATCAATAAATAGGGGAAACCACAACCATTCAATCTTATATCGATGAATTTCATTCGTCGTTTTCTCTTCTGGAACTCGTTCAAAAATTGTCATAGGAAAATAGTTTGAATTTCTAACATCATCGGATAACTGTCGAAAAATATTTTTCCATATTTTGAATACACCTTTAATCTAGAATTTAAATAAAGTTACTTTCAAAAATGAAGCTCTCTATCAACAACATTTACTTTGGTTTGTGTCAAGGACCACTGAAAAGGTAAATAGTTATCATATGGATTGTAAATGTAAATTGCTCGTACTTGGTTTAGATCATACATATCGGAGATTATATTTTCAGTGAATTCTATTGATACAATGAGAAAAACACTTTCATACTCAGTCGTTTTAATATAATTTTTGCACGATTTTGGATCATCAAATGATCGAAAATAATCAATAATCGAACGTAGTTGTATTCGATCAGAATTTTTAATGTACTCCAGACCTAACCAAATGACAGTGAACTGTTCCTTATTTTCCGACCGATAATCAGAAAGCACTGGCAATATTTCAATATTTTCAAACGACGGTAACAGAAATGAGGGACATGATACTAATTGTCGACGACGTCTACGTATTAAAAGAACAGAAACTCCTCCCACAATCAATGCACCAATTATTGAACAAACAACAATAACGGCAATGATTATACTGCTACTCTTAATCTTAACAGAGATTGTAGTGACGTTCGCCGGCATCACAGAAGTCGTTGATATAGCGGATTGAAATTTTGTTATAGCCACAGTAGTACTAGTAGAATTATTATGTATTTTTTTAGCTTTTAAATCACAATTCGATGTATCTAATCTGATTAATGTAATTATGTTACTATTTTCACTGATGGTTAAAGATATCAGTGAAAATCCATATAATCTTCCTAAAACATCCGTAGTATCTCTCAAATATGGTGCCCATAAATTGAAAGTTTCCTTTTCACAATCTCGACCATTCAAATTTGAAATAAATCCAATTGATGTTTCATTAACAATGACAGATAATGTTCCATGCGGACAACAGCATTGTGTTTGATTACATTCATCATCGGACCATTGATAGTCGCCAAACCACTCATATTGTTGTCCACATATTTCCGATGTACCAGTGATAAATACAATTATGAACAGTAAAATTCTGTATTGTTGCATTATTTTAGCAATAATTTCTCACTGCAAAAACGTTCCTACGTTGATCACGACCGATTTAATTCAAAAGTATATTTTCGTAGCAAGATTAGTTTTATATCTTTCTTCTGGCTTATTAAAAAAAATTATCTTTTTTTTCAATTACCTCTAGGTCAGGATGTGATGTAAAAACAGAAGTTTTGGTTTTCTGCCTTGTAGAACAATACTATTTAACAAAAAGTTTTTGATACTATATTTCACGTTTGTGTTTCGTTAATCCAAAACAAAGAATCAATTCAGTACTGGAGTAAATGTCAGCATTGGATCATGGGAATAATCCGATGAAAAGTTCGTTTTTTCACCGAAACCCGCATTACCAATTATACAGATAAGGCTCGTGAAAATGGTTTAACGACATCATATCTAAAACAACTGTAATCAGATAGAATAGTATCAGGTTTTCAGAAAAGAGAAGCTTGTGATGGATGGTGAGCGGTTTTCTACTGCTAAATCACTAATAAATATCAAAGGCTATGTAAGATACTATCGTGTCGAGCATAGTGATCAAATATATGCCATTCACCCTGTATCGCTGTTGTACTAACTAATGTAAAAGGGTTGACATATTAAAAGTGTCAAACCTCTGTGACTGTAAATTATAATGTGAAACAGACATGAACTTTTTTGAGAACGCAAGGTATATAAACCTCCCTAAAAGTTTTAAAACTAAAAGCAGGTTAGAAGACGCGAATCTCGTATTGTGACAATCTCTTTATTGAATAATCATTAACACTACAATTACTACAGATTCCTTGTTCCTTTTCTTCTAAGTATATATTCTCCTGTCTTCTAAATTTTTACTCTGCGTTCTTTGTTTTTAATGTTGTTTTCATTTTCATTGCTGTAGATTACGATGAAAACAAAAATAGTTGATTGATATTCTCCTGTGAATAACATTTGACCAAATCCATAGTTGTAAGACACCCTGTATTCAATATAATTTTCGTAGTCTAATCAGATCTAAAAACTTTTTCTTACAAACTGGAGGCACGAGCTAGATTATAAATTGATAATAAAAATAAAATTTATTACGGTCATGATATACAACTGAAAATGCGGTAAGAGATGCAACAGCACAGTATTTTATCTCTACTAAAAATGTCAGATGGGTTCGTCATTGTTATGAGAACAGAGAAACTAATATCGAGATTGAAAGCGATCAGCTTACATATCTTATTTTTCATTCATTAGGCCACCAAATCTAAATAGAAAATGAAAAAAATTTTCTTAGTTGTCGTCATAATTCGATTAATGCTCTCGCTAATCTGTTATAAATGTCGGTAAATAAATTTCGTATTCATTAAAATAAATATTTTGTTTGAAAGAGAATTATGCGAGATTATTAACTCATCGCAAAGAAAACGAAAAAACATATCAGACCACAAAAGATATACGAGAAAGGAGAAATAACACAATGATTACAATTTACATACTATCTCCAACTGATGCAGTCCTGCTCCTTTGAGTATCCAGGTTGATGTCTCTGGTGATTGTAAAAGACGATTTACGAAGATATAAACGGCTCATATTTCGCCCGTTTGGCAGCGACAATACTATGGCCGTAGCACACTGTGTCCTATATGGCGAGATACAAACGCCAAGTACGTGTAGGGGTGGGAAGTTACCGTTCCCAGACAAGTTCCCAGTTCTTCGGAAACGAGAATGCCCCGTTTCCAGTTACTCGAGAATGCAGTTAATGTTCAGGGAGTACCTAGCATCATCAATCTCATAGCCTTGGTCCCCAAGAGCAACTATTAGGGGCATCCTTCTATCGACAAGCCCCACCATTGGAGATACTCTTGAGTCCACAAATGCCAGTATCAGCCAATGCCTTCAGCTCATCAATTGCTCGTACAGCAAGGTACACTCAGCTCAACCAGTGTAACTATTACGTGGAACCGTGCATCCAACCTATGAAAATTTTGCGCAGACCCGTCGTTCCAATAGGTTGAATTGCCAGTAATGAAGGTTTTGTCCCAACAATTACTGGTGTTGCTAATAACCTTAGCCACTCACGTCTTAGAATTGAGGGGGAGGCATCCTGAGGTCCTGAAGTCAAAGTAGTTAGGAGATACTTGTCGGTCATCCAGGAGGACGCAATGATATTTCACCATCCTAGCACTTGGTGAACCAAGAGTAACCCGGGAACGTAACGGGAACTTCCCACTTCTGCCTGAAATTGTAGGACTTGAGGAACCAAACTTACTCCGAATAATAGGACTTGTGGACGGAAGTTACGAGTTTCATGACGGTAGACACTCTTCTGATTGTTCCCACTTTTCCAAAAACTGATAACGGGCCGTTACCGTTCTCGGGAATGCGGGCATGGAGAAGCTCTCAGTTACCCAGGAACTGGGAACGGAAAAGTTCCGAGTTTCCTGGAAAGGTAACGGTAACTTTCCACCCCTGCGTAGGTGTCGTTGAGTGTGGTTCAAAAGGAGTAACATCTACACACACACACCCCATCAGATTCTGTTCTTGAAATTCAACGAAATCCGACGGTGGGAATCGTCAGAAATCAATGGATAATGACGGTTTCCGACAGTCAGATCCGATCGGATCCCATTTGGAAGGGTCGATCTGGGCCATTTTAAGGTATAGGTGTGACTGTGATCACAAGAACGACATTCACCCACACCCTCTTCAAATTCATATACATTTGAACATCGATGTATGATACATGAAAAGAGATTGTTAAATAAATTTGCTTGAAATTCTCAGAAACATCTAAACCAGAGAACGTTCAAATTTTTTAATGAGCGAAAATCTTAAGTTTTCGATTTCAAGAACTCGCTTCTTATAGAACCGAAATTTCATGACAAGAGACAAATGAATAATTTCCCCTATTAAAATAGTGGCTTTTATATTGAAATATTTCGAACATAATCGAGCAATGATTGTTATTTCTTAAATTATCAAATTGAAAATTATATTTTCGTTGTAAAATTCATTTGATTACTAGAAACTTACTATTTGTAAAGCGGTATTAAGTTTCATACGATAAATTCTCGTGATGACGAGATATTAACTTAATATGTGAGATAGAAGTCATCATTTTTATTTTCCAGATGAAAAATTTATTTTTAATGTGAATGAAATATTTTCATATGAAAAAGATGACTCAAAACTGGAATAAGATCGCTAATTTTCGAATAAAAAATCTATTTAAATGGCACCATTATATTTTGACTTTTCATCATTAAAGAGGAAATTAATTGTATTTTAAGGGATTATTAAACTTAAGTCAATTTAAACTGTTTATTCGAGTTGCTTGAAATTTGTTAACCCACTTCAATATATTAAAAAAGATGAAAATCAAATAAAATCACTTTTTAAATTTGAACAATCTGATTAAAATCGCAATACAACAGTGACATTATAATTAATCTTAACTTGATTTTTAGTCGTTTTTCTTCTACCTGAGTTCTTAATTGTGTTTAAATTTCATTATATGTGAGTAGGAAATGAATTTCATCATTGAAAATACTTTTTCTCGCTCATATTAACACTTACAAAAACTAAGATAAATCGTCATTGTCCAACTCTCGAATCGAAAATATAATTTTTAATAATTGACATTAATAATACTATTAAAGTTACATAATCTGCCATTCGAATCTAATTTATTTTGTGAAGTTGTTTTCCACAAATTTAAATTCTCAATTTCGAGTTAATAACTTTAATTTTTATTGTGAACTCAAATTCAACATTGATATAAATCTTGTACAACACGATATCAATTATTACAATTCAAAAAGAATCCTTGCCTTTCTAGATATTGCACGTGGATAATATTTAATACGAGTCTATAAGGTCGAAATTTATCAAGTTTGTCCGAAATTATTCGATTCTTAAAAATATGATCTCAAAATGAATTATTTTGCCACTCAAATTGTGATTATTTTAGATCCTTGTGAAACAAGTAGAATATTATTTCTGATTATTTAACTATGACTACATGAGGTCTCAGCAACTTAACCTCAAGAATTTTTCTACAATATATTTGAATTCGACTGTTGACTAGCAACACTTTCTGTCGAAATAAAAACTTTACTAGAAACATCAATCGGAAAGAGGCTTACTTGATTCACTTTTAATGCATCAGCCAAATGTTGTTCACCTTAATCCCAATATGATTGTTATACAAGTACAGTTGTTTTAGTGTCTATAGCAAAAAAAAATGAGGATGATTATTGGAATTAACGAAACAATTCTATATAATATTCATCAGTATGTGATAATGGACACTCTATCAATCTATTTATTATTATATTGACTGTTTGATTTTGTACAGTAAGAAGAAACATATTCGACTTAGTTTAAATAATTACCCGACTAAATATATCTTTTGCCTTAATTAACTATGAATTTTCTAATAATTGACGATCCCGAAGGATATTTTGCTAATAGAATAAAATATATAATTGGAAATGTTAGTTATGTATAACTCAATGTGTAAATTAGTCGGATGCATTAACTCTATGTTTTAGAAATTTCTCTAGATTGATACCATAGAATGAAAAGCACAACAATTGTTTAAAAAATATATTTGCCTGGCTGGTGTTTGATAGAATTCTTGGCAAAAATCATAAACTCATTCTTAAATATTTTTATAGATTTTTCGATTAAAACAATACCAAATTTTAAATAGTTTTAAGAGTAATTATTTGTTAACTTTCTCTAAGCTTGAAATAAATCTCACAATTATCGCGATTTAATTGAGAACTCATAATATCAATTTGTTTAGAGATAAATCTACTTTCTGAATAGCGCTGATATATCAAAAATAATTCACTAGCAATTTTATTATTCATGCGATGTTAAATGAATATTTGACTTAAAGAAGATCAACACTACGTCGTTTTTATGAGTAGATAATTATGAAATCTTCTCATGTAAAAAATCTATATCAAGTAATTAGAGAATGGAATATTCAACAAAAATTTCTCTAACAGCAAGTCTTTTTTTGGATCTTAGCAAGAAATTTCATTTGAAATTCATCAGATTACAAGAAAGTGATATGTAACTAGTCCTCTTTGAAAATCAGAAATAAAAAAAAAGGAGAGATAATTTGGAGATAACTATGAAAATATAGAAATTCTCAGCTGTAAATGTATTAGATATATTTTCTTTAAGAAAATAAAATAGATTTAAAGAAATAATCGCTATCATCAAAGAAAATATTCTTTATTTGGTCGAATGGCGAATTTTTGTTGTCTCAATATCTAAACTAATTCTCTTGTTTCATTAATTCATCATTCTGTAATCCAATCAGATGTAAAAGCTCAAAGACTAAGACAAATTGCTATTTAGAGGTTTTCTGGTTTATTCTTTAATTGTGAAAATGATTTCAAAAATATTATTCTTATTCGAATTATTTTTTAAAGTATATCAATATTTCAACTAAATTTGCAATTGAAAGTGAACTTTTAAAGTAATTTTTACTAAGAAATAACGACTTTTCCTTCATGGAAATAGAAGCAAAAGTTGTCTATTTTGAATATTTGCATATGAAATATGAGCTTATTCTTTTAATTTTCATATAATAAAATAAGAAGTATTTTATTGAGAATAAGAATTCAAATCTAAAGTAGAATCCATTTTCCTCGATTAATATTGTTTGAAACTAAAAATGTGGTTTTTCTTTTTTGTGCAAAATTGATTTTATTAATTGAATTTCTTTCTATGGAAAATATTAAAAATTTTTACTCATTAAAAGAATTCTTTACTGCAGATATTGACAGAAAAAATTAGAAAACCTATTTCTTTAACCATTTTTGAATCAAAATTCGTTTGTTTTCATAGATTTGAATATCACAAAATTTAGAAAAGTTTTTTCTTTGTTAACTTTTCAATATAGTAAATAAATTCTTTTAGTTTTGAGAAAAGATTTCTACAACTATAATGTAAGACTTTTTTAAACACCAGTCACAGTATTACAATTCTTAAGCAATCTTTCACTATCTCTCAACAAACTGCATGACTCATATTCAATTAGATTCGAAAATCAAAATTTATCAAATCTTCTTAAAATAATTCAATTATATTTTTGCAAATGTGAAATAGAATTTTAAAATAGATAAGGATGTAAGTAAAAATTTGCATTTTAATCGATTCTCTTTAAATACATCGTACACTGAAGTCAAACCTTCAGCATTGATGAAATCTTGACAAATTATTCTCATAAATCTTTCAACGATATGCAAAAATTTGTCTATTGATTATCGTGCATTTATTTCGAGTCTATATAAAACAAAGTGATGATATAAATTTAAGAAATCAACTATTTACGATATTTTCTGTCTCCAATATTATTCTTCTGAAGTTGTAAGTTGGTGAGAATCTATATAATAAAGTTAAAAAGTTTAAATAGTCTACAAATAAGTATTTTGTGTCGATGAACTAAATTGAAAAATAGGCAATGTTTTGGTTGGCTTTGCAATCAGATGTTTTGTAAATAAGTGATAGAAGTTTATAAAGATTATTAGAATCGATGATCTTAAAAAATAAATATCAATGGTTTCTGATAGAATTTTATCAAAACAATGAAGTCTTGTCTATTCTCCTTCTATCTGATATCAGTTTATATTTGAAGAAATTTTAAATAAACTAAAAACATTCGACGCAATGAATTTCTCGTTCTTTCAAGTAAATCAAATAATTTTTAACATTCAAATAAAATTAAATGACAAAAATTTTTCTGTTTCCGAGACACAGTTACAATTTGATAGTCATACATTACAGATGATTGACTAGTTTATTCGTAGATATGGAATCTTCTAATGCAACTCTATTTCAAGTAATTAGACAATAAAATATTCTAGAAAAATATCACTAATATCAAGTCTTTTTGTTCGATTTTAGTGAAAATAAAGAAATTCTAAGATGTAAATTGATTAGATAAATCTATAGATTTAAAGAAACAATCGTTATCATCAGAGAAATTAATGAAATACTTTTTATTTAGTTGAAAGGGAAATTCAAAATAAACTAATCGAAAAAACTTCTTGTATATTTGAATAACAGCGAAAATCTCTGTTATAAATATTACTATTACTTATGCGAAATATTAAAATGAGAAATTTTCTTTTTAATAATCATGAAATACTTTACTTAGAAGTGAAATTCAAACATATTAAACTACAAAATCTATTTATTGAAAAATAATCAAAAATTTCAATCGCTTAAAATCATTTATTTTGAGGAATTTTCGGACAAATTAAACAAAGAAAATTCTCGATGAATAAATTTTTCAAACTAAAAATTGTATTTTTATTTTCGATCACAATTCGAATTATTTTCCACAAAATATTGAAAGCATAAGGGTGTGAGTGTGGGTGTTGGTGTGGGGTGTGGGTGTGGGTGTGGGTGTGGGTGTGGATGTAGATGAAGAGATATAATAGACCCACCCACACCCACACCCACACCCTAGTGATGAGACACACAATTGCCCTTCACATTCGCAATCAATTTCATCTGATCCATCTTCGCAATTCCATATTCCATTACAGCGAGTATATATATTATTACATATACAGTGTTCACATTCAGTCTCATCGGTCACATAATGATCGTCGATAAAAACAGGTGTTAATTCTGTAAATCCATCACAAATAGTTTGAAAAAAAAATGTTTTTTTGTGTATCAATAATCAATGAATTTATTTCATCTTCACCATTCTGACAGTCTCGTTTATCATTGTACAATTGATGAATATTAAAACATTTCGTTGGATCATCGATACAACTAAATCGTTGTTTTTGATCCGGAAGTGAACAGTTTAAAGAATGGTATTCATCATCACCTTCTTTACAATCACGTATACCATCAAGTAATCGATGTTTTGAAATGCATTTTGATACATTTGTACAATGAAAAAGTGATTAATCATGGCAATACATTTCATTTCCAAGAAACATGTTTCGGAAAGATGAACATGAATAAAAAAGTTCAAGAATTTGTGTATATAAAAAGTCTATATTCTTGATGTTATTGAGATCAATAATCTCAGAAACGATAGCACATGTTAATTCACCAATATTAAAAACATGTTTTGAAAATAGCAAACCACAGAGTGATACATCGTAACAAATATAATTTGGAACCAAAATTTCATTTGGAAGAAAATTCAATTGATCTCTTATATACCATAAACGAATATGACCAAAGAAAATTGGAAATACGGGAAAGACAAATTGTTCTGGACCACTTAATTTTATAAATTTTAAACATGATTTACGCAAACAAATTCTGATGCATTCATTTGGATCGTCTGGTGTTATCATCAAATCCATAGCACATTGCATTGCCTTCTGATATATTTCTGATACATTTGTAGTCTTAAGGAGAACGCGTAAGAATAAAATATTTCGACGATTTAGACAGCTACCTAAAAATTCTTCACATTCTCCATTCCCACATACATTAGAATGGCTTACACTTGGTCGACATTGTAAATCCTCACATCGATATGAAGGATCCATTGAACAAAGACTAGGATAAAAGAATGATCACGATGGCTCATCTGTTCGATCAAGACAATCTGGATTATAATAATTATCATGAAAAAATGTCTTAGGAATATATTGACCATTTTGACAACGATATTCATTTTCATCACATTCATTCACTTCAAGCTCAAAGCAATTTTCTTCATCTTCTCCATCAAGACAATCAAGTTTACCATCACATATTTCACGCCAATCAAGACATATTGGTGCAGGTCCACGTGTACGATTTAAATGAATAAAACATGTTAATTTTTTAAATCCTTTAAAATTCTCTTTAGCTATAATAGTTGTTTGAACAACTTTAGAAAAGATCATTGATGAATCTATAAAAAAATCGGTATTGACAGATAGGACCAAAATATGGTGAAGTATAATTATAAAAATAAATGTTTGTATCATTTATTGTTTTGTTGTTCCTTAAATAGAACTGATAACGTTCAATAACATCGATTGGTGCTGACCATTTATATAATTGTTCACTAGTGATATTTTTTTCACGTAATTCAAAAAAAGAAATCTTTTGATCATTTGTATTATTAAAATCTAATAAGTCATTTATCATTGTTGATGCATCCAAACAATATTTAAGAAATTGATTATTTAATGGGGTTGGTAGTTGCTCAGTATTTTTAACACTGGTTTTTTCTATTTCATATAAATTGAGATGAAGCGGTGCACGATAGTACAAACAGTTGAATTGGACAAATAAAGTTACATCTGATCGATCAGTGAAATACATATGCAATTGAGAGGATGTTAACATCGTATAAATTATGCAAAAGGAAATGGCAAATGAACAAATCTTAGATGTCATTTTGAATGGGATGTGGGTGTGGTTTTAGGGATGTGTTGTGTGGGGTGGGTGTGTGGGGTGTCATTGTGTCTTGTATTCTCTTCTACCCACATCCACACCCCGACCCCGTATACCCACACCCACACCCTAATTTTCAACGGTCTTGGAAACTCTTTTTTAAAGGTTTCGGTTTGGTTACAAAAATCGAAATCCTCTTTAGGTTCCGTATCATATAGGATATTCTTTTTAAGTTTCTTAGCAATCACGAAACCCTTTTTAGTTCCTAATGTCACTTTTTTTCAGTGTAAGTATAGGTGTGGGGATATGAATGCTCTGTTCAATTACACATACACCTTCAAGGGACACGCGTCCTGGTAACTACAAAGTTTAATACTGAAGTATAAAATTTGGATTTTCTAGTGTTTGATGTGAAGCGCATAATTGTAAGTTTTGTTTTGAGCTCTCGATTTTCGATTGAAATATATGCAACATATATCAGATATTTCCCTGATGAGACTTCTAGTAGGATCAAAACAGATTGTGGCAGCTAGAAATTCAATACTCACCCTTACTATCATCAATAATTCAGAAGCCTGAAAGACGATGTATGCTAAAAATTGCATAAGCTGTTCTAACGATAGCCTAACAGTAACTATTGAACGGTTTGCTTTGGCATAGCCGCATAAAACAATATTCATTTCATGAGATACGCGTCGATACAACTCGACCAACATGAAAACAAACTTAAACATTTGAAATGATATTTAGAGAACAAGCTGATAAAATAAAACAGACGCATTCTATGTATGTCATATTCTTTTTCTTGGGAGCCGACAATCAATTTTACTTTCATTTGGAAACAATTTTCTCTAGTAAGAACAAACAACTTCTGGATACGAAAAACGTTAAAAGAGAGTACTCCTCGTCGGGATACCCCATGTCCCAGAGTTATTGAGATTGTACTTACATGAAGAATATATATCGTTACTTTAATTTCTGAATATTTCAAGTTTGAGTTACATGGCCAGTACATTCGGATACTCGACGTATCTGTATCATGGCATATCTGTGACTGAATGTCACAAAAATCTTACTTTTCTCTGGAGAGTTACAACAAACTGATGAATTCAAAATATTTATTAGAAACAGAATAAAATAGAAACGACACATTTACAGCTCAAAGCATAGGAGAGAAAATGAAGAGAATGAAAGAGCAGTAATCAATATATAGATGTTCTTTGGGCTGCACAAGGCTACAAAGTTTTAAAGTCAGTTATTTGAAAGTATCGTTTCAATTTGTAAGTTGCTGTATATGAAAAAGCTAATCAGAAAGAACAATCAAAGTAATTTGCGCCAATCGTGTGAAAGCATAAGATGTCATATTTTTCATTATGTTATTTAGACTAATAGAATTTGCACGGGGGGACGTGAGTGAAACCTGAGCAATGTCTTTTCTGACAATAAATCATCCGTTCATATTTCCGTTCACTTGCATTGTTAATTGCCCGTTCGCATTTAGATCGACACTCCAGTTCCTGTTTAGATCGACGTTCCAGTTCCTTCGATTGTGCCCGTTTCCATCTATTTTCAAGTTCTTTCTCATGCTCTTTATACTTTTCGTATAGGTATAAGAAGCGAAATCTTGATTTTTCGTTGATAAACTTCATTCCTTCCAATCGCCAATGGTTAGTATCGAAACCTTGTTCTTCGATTTTTTTAGACCATATCAGATTACTGAGATCGTCTGAAATGAGTAGTTTATTTAAATACTTTGATACGCGTAAAAGACGACCGAGATCACAGCCGCTGAGATGAGGAAATATATAATAGACGAGTATTTCTGGAGGAAGATCATGGAGAAGACAACTAGTTGGACTCTTTTGTTTTTTTGGTTGTGTTAGTGTTAGTTGACGACCTTTGGTAGACGACGATAGTAATGAACCCATTGTTTTATCTAAAAGACGATAGAAAAAACGGTAAATACAGTATTATGGCAGTTATATGTGATTATGTGTTCTAAGTGAGTGACATTTCAGATAGTACGAAAAAAACATAATTTGATTGTGACGCTTTTTTAAAATTTTTTTCCTGTATCCTGATTCATACATGTACATGAGAAAACATAGAATAGTGAGATAGTATAAAATACAAGCGTAACTTGTAATAGCCATAAAAATGACTCATTGATAATATAAACACTTTTCATGCTTCATCTGCCTAATAATCAGCTACGTTACTTGGATGGAACGATTACGTTCAAACGAATTATCAAACTCAACTTTTAACTTAGTTTATAAAAGCTAGTGTAACGTATTTCTAGCAAAAAATTGAGTTTTTGACGAAATATGTCTCTTTGCCAAGTTTCACAAAGAAACAAGAAAATCATGCAATAGTTCTTTTTCTTTCTGGGTACCAGAATATAGAACAGAAAGACATAATTTATCAGAGAAACGGTGTTTATCTTAATACTGCCATGACTTTGTTTTTGTTATTTTTGTATTACTTCCTAGAATTGGATTCCACAAAATTACTTTGGTTTTTATGAATGACAAATACATTACATATGTTACAACGAATTGAAGGATAATATGATGTATCGCCGCAATACCTTACTATTGCTATTAAATAAATGTCTCAAATGTTTTTGTTCATTTTCTTCCAGTTCTGATAGTATTTTCAAATAATCAAAGGTTAGAAACACAAGAATCAGTTGCATAGAGATGTTTTATGAACAGAAATAAGAATCTTGATTGAAACATTGGTTCTCGTCCATTGTAAAACAAAAGATCGTCTTGTAGATTTACACTGATTGTCATGAAAATGAGAAAAACTACGACAGTAAGATAGTAGTAAACTTTCAAAAAGTAGTTAAATGGTATGGTTTCAAGCATTTATCATTGCGAAATACTTGCGCGATGATAACATCAGCAGCCAATGTTCATATAATTATTTGAACAGTCACTCGTTTGAATTACACATAATCTTGTCTTTATGACTGTTGGACGTCGAGAATCGAACTATTATTGATTTATAATATTCTTCAATGAGGCGATTGTAACGAAAAATATTTCTAATCGATGAATATAAGTCGTGAGACGAGAAATCCTGTAAAACGTTCGGTAGCACCGAAATGTAATGGTTTATTGAATAATAGTTAGAATCTGCTCGTATCAAGGGGGAAAAAGCGAAACTGACAGTACTCCAGTGGACTCGCTGTGCTCCCGGATTGTGACGAAGGTCTACTTTCAAGTTTTTTAGCTATTTCAATACGTCTATTAATCAGTGTTCTGGCGTAGTCATTTGAGTCCAGCTTACGTATTTCTATCAGGCTCTAGAGTCAAAATATGTCACTGTACTCCACCTTTACTCAAATTTCCGAGTAAACAAGAGGTATTTTCACTCTGACGTCTGTTAGAAATATATAAGCTGGACTCAAACCACTATGCCAGAACACTGATTAATAGACGTATTGAAATAACTAAAAAGCTTGGAATTAGACCTTCGTCACAGTCTGGGAGTACAGCGAGTACGCTGGAGTACAGCCAGTTTCGCTTTTTCCCCTTTGGCTCGTATACATGTAACTTCTTTATGTGTGTTTCAGGTTCAGACTCTATTCCGTTTTCGAGTCTCAATTCAGAAGAACTTCTAAGAGAGTACGTTTCAATAGTCTCGAATACATCTTCCTTTTACTGATTACAACTATCAAATGCATATAACAGAATGTCTCAGATAGAGATTAAAAAAGCTTGTTAGCGCAGCTCCTTTGGAGCTGAAATGTGGAACTCACATTTCACCTTCAGCCTTTTTATTCTAATACATGATCTGCAAACTGAAAAATTTTCTTGTCAACTATAATTGTTTTCATTGAGAATCGATGAAAAGAGCGGGAATTTATTATTTATTTGTATATTAAAAAAATATGTTAAAAAAGAAAATATTGTTTTTTCATTTAAGCGCGCTCAATTTCATTTATAATTATTGCTATATACTCGATAATAATAACTTTTTTTTTGTTTTTTAATTTGAAATTATTTTTCTTCACCATCGACTATTTTATGAATAGAACTATTGAATAATGTAGGTTATATGCATTAACAACTCTTACATTAGCTTATGTCTCAATTAATCCATAATGCCGATATTGTTTATCATTCACACTGAGAAAAAGATCGAATCATGCATCTCATATTAATTATATGACTGCTATAACAGATCAATATATTTTATTACTTTGCCTCCTTGACTTTTAACACGCAAGCTCAAATTAAAAGAAAGATCCACGACTACATTATTATGAACTTTAACAAATATATAAGTTTTTTTAAAATAAGTATGAAAGTATTGAGATACTATATAGCAGTCGAACTGATATTCTTAATATTGTTTAACTTGCTTCTTTTTATTGCTAAATAAATCTGCAGCGTTTTATGCGCGGTTGTTGCAGTC